TAATGATTACAGACAGGCGTTCAGAAATATTTGTTTTCTTCAAAAAATRTATGATTTACATGAACGCGATAATTATTTGCTTTTATGTCGTGTAGTGACACCTCAAAAACAACTRACTATGTATTTGAGTATTTTAAATATGCTTTTCACAACATTTAATAAACTCAAGTACTTGTTTTGTTTTCTCGGTAGTATTAGACGCAAAACAATGAACCCACTAGGAAATTGTTTATCAACTCATTTGATAGTTATTACTTATTTTCTTTGACATCAAATGCAATATTTCTGAAAGAATTGCACGTTGTTTTCTGTATGTTTTCAAATATTAGTCTCGCCGGGCACATCAAATGTAATTTGAGCTTAATTGAAGTCTACTACTGATTTTCTAGTGAACTGACTGTCATTTCCCGCCTCGTATCGATGAGCTTCTATCAAATTCGCGAGTTAGAAAATAGATAAAGAAAAAGCATTTCTTTATGACCGCAGTTAGACATCGTTTTGGCAGAATTGCAAATCTATTGTAAGCTAGTACTGTTTACTACAGGAGAGAATCCACTCAGCCCACTTACCGGGCTAAATTCGATGGAGACAAGCGACGAACTACAATTCARTGTCCGGAAGTTTTGAACAACTGACATCTATATGGCTCGACCATTGACGAAATAACACTCACTAATGGTAATATCACCTTGGTTATTCAACGGGAAAGAATCARTTCTYGAACGGCTGCAWGAATGGCTAACAACACAAGTTTTCACGAGGGTTTTTCATGTCAGCCTTTGTCTCCAACAAGTGCTGTAATTATTGGGAAAATCTGGGCTTATTCTATTCTCATTCCCGCCTCGTTATTTGGCAATATTTTAACAATCGTRGTCATCTATGCCAACAAAAACTTAAGGCGACCGTTGGATTTCTTTATAATGAATATGGCAATTTCAAACTTGTTTATTCCTTGTGTGGTMCTTCCTTATCAAATAGTGAAGACAGCAAATAACGCAAACTACTGGCTTGTTGACGGCCTTGTTGGGGAATTCATGTGCAAGTTTGTATTCATTCTAGCAGATATGTGTCCAGTGGTTTCTATCTATAGTCTTATTGGCATGACAGGAGAGAGATTCGTAGCCGTTATCTATGGAACAAAGGCYCCGAGGAATTCGATAACTCGYCGAATAGTGTTAATATGGATTTTGTCATTTATTCTCTTTACCCCGTACTTCTACACGTTTCGTCTTCATCGCTTAAACAACAACTGGTATTGTTTGCAACGATGGAGTCCTCTTCTCGATCACGTGGCAGCTTATAGAATACACATGACAATTCTAGTAGTTGTTTGTATAATACTTCCATTTTGCCTATTGACCGCCATGTATGCAGTCATCTTGATAACCTTGACCAAATGTCTACCGTACTTTAAGCCGGAGTCAAAAAATGGAAGAGAGCGTCGGTACAAAGCAATACGCAGTACAATTACACAAGCTTTGGCCCTAGTAGCTGTGTTTGGYYTGTGCTGGGGACCTTACAATGTCATGGTATTAGTCTGGGGGTTYGTATGGAATTGGTCAAATTTTCCCTCTTGTGATGTACGCTTGTTGTTTATTTGTGCTCAATTYATGACGTACTCAGACAGCTGCGTTTCACCTTCTGTTTACTTCATTTTCTTTCCAAGATATAAGCGTGCCATGAAACGAGTTTTTAACTGCAGATCTGTCAAGTGAGATGCTGAATGTGAATAACAACCTTTTGCCATAGTATTGWAACTCAAACTAAAATTTAGATTGGATTATACGGTGAAGAAGCGAAATATTTCCTTATCCCCGGATAATGGAAAAACTAATTGTAAAAGAGTTCGTTTATTGCCTCTGAAGACCATAATAGTTCTTCAAAGAAGTGAGTAGCAATTTAAAATGAATTTCTCATTTAAAGATGAGAGGAGGTCGCTTAAAAAAACTAAACATGCAAATCACTGGGTCATCGGAAACTGCTATCAAATCACATGAGAAAACCTACAGGCAAAAACCAACAGAATGCAACATGCGTTCATGTAATGAAAGATATATATTATTAACAGTGAATTTATTGATTGCAATCTATAGTTCACAAATAATGTATATTGCAGACATAAAGATAGAATAAATAAACATTTGTGATTTTGAGATGGTGCGTCATTTGGATAGGTTATCTCATCATCGAATTTTAACCGAAAAACAACCAAACGTATCAACTAATCTAAAGAGTGCGACACACAAAGGAGGCAGACTTGCTGAGCTAGCCGACGATGACAAATTATTAAAATTTTAGTACACCTTGAGGCAAAAGATTTTATTAAATACTCATAAGTGGCTTGTCAAAAAAAAAGAGAGAGAAAAAAACCGAGCTCGAATTACAAAGTTTGAGCTGATAAAATCTTGACAGACTTTAGGATTTACATCATGGTTGTCAGTTGTAGACAAAATAGATACTAGATAAAACACACCATTCTGTGTTCGAAAACGTTTATAGGCTTTTAAAAATAGTTCTTCAATAAAATATACTATAGAGATATTAAATTATTGATGATTATATTTTTTTCTAGAGTTTTCAGTTATATAATTACATTTAAGTTTGGCAAAAATTTGTAAAATTGACGCATTGAGTGATAGTTTGTAGGACATTGTCATTTCAAATAGAAATTTTTTTCCACATTGGTATGTTATCGATAATTTTTCATGAAATCATAAGAGCAGCTCAAAACAACAGGATATATGTACACTAAAAAATAGAAAATTAAAAAAATGGTTTCTGTTGACAGTTTTTTCAGTCAAACAAGTGTTATTGTTTAATGTCTCAATGTATACTGCTATTGATATCTTCACCTAAACCTTGGTTGCTTATGAGATATAGTTCCATTCTCCTGCTATAAGAAAGAGAAAGAAATTAATTAGGTTCTTGAAGTGACATTCTAGTGACATTCGTCGTTGGCCTTTCAAGCCTAAATTCATAGGCCCTGTCAGCATCTCATAAAGCGTGCTGCTGCCCTTCTATAATTTTTTTTTTTAAGTTTTGATTTTTTTTTCTATTTATTTTTGTTTTGTCGTTCGCTTGTTTGTTTGTTTGTTTGTGTGGGTATTTTTATTTCTGTTGTTATTGTTGTTTAGGTAGCTTAATTGATTGATTTAATTCTCTTCGCAAAGTAGATCAGTAGTAATAAAACTTTGTTCTGAATTGCTTTCCTAAATGTAAAAATA